AATGACTGCCTTCCTCGCCAGACAGTAAACTCTTATGTTTAATGCTACATGCCTCATGTCTGGCATTGGGGCTGGCACATAATATGTGCCCAGTAAACAGCTATTGCATGAAACTATAAACAAAATGAATGAATTAGTATTGAAAAGAGAAAATTTCAAGGCTACATGCTGGGAGCATGTAGATTATAAAATGTACATGAGATGTTAAATTACTAGTAGGATCTCAAAAAGTCATCTTGCTGGAGCATTGATTGTTTGCCCTGTCATTTCTCTGTTGATAAAAACCTCCAAGAATAAACTCTTCATTATTTGAAGATGCCTCAGTAAGTGCCAACACATAAACAGCAGCAGCAAAGGCAGCTGACATTCTCTGATTGTTTATTCTCTGCTAGGCTTTTGTCCTGTGTACATCCTATGTATTCTCTCATGAAATCCTCACATGACCTCTAAAAGGTAGATGGTGGGGTGTTTTTGTTTGTTTGATTTTAATTTCTATTTCCAGATGAGAAGACCAAAGCCCTGGGAGTTTAAATGATTTACTTGAGGTCCCTCAGCCAGCTAGTGGTAGGCCCTGAAGTAGAGGGGGTCAGAGCAGACTAAGTTTTGGGATAGAGCACCAGCCTTCCCCCTAGTACCTTTCCCCTCATTAGCTGGAAGAGCTCTCTTTTTATCTGTTTTATACATTAGAATTGGAGCCTCTGCCTTGGTTTTCTTTGAAGCCAGAGTTTTGTGGCTACAGAAGAATTTGAAAAGTCCAGGCCTGCAGAACAAATTTGACCTTTGCAGCTTTCTGCCCTCCCACCCCTAGATATCCCACTGTGCTTCTGCCTGAAATGCCATCTCTTTTCTTCTGCCATGGACCAGAATGCTTCTAAGGCATATTCCAAATCTAGAGGCAGAATGAGTTGTACTCTTCTGCTTTCTCCTCCTGTGGAATGCCCACCCCTCAGTCCTAGCAGCACTCAGGCTTTTTCTAAGTTAAATGGCTGATGAGTTTGTCTCCACCGCTGGACTGAGCCTCTGGGGAAGTTGGACCAGGCCTGCCTTCTCTCCGGAGCTCCTCTGCCTGGCGCGGGATCTGGCACAGAACTCAGGAGCCTCAGCCAGTGCCTGATGAATGAATGAATGCACGCCAAGTGCAGAGCGAGTGCTCAGCACTAACCGGCTGAGTGCAGAAGCCTGAGTACAAACTAGCGTGTGCTCAGAGAACTCCATGAATGCGAGATGGAGATGATCAGATGTATTAATCACTGGTTTGGAAAGGAATTAAAATATTTCCATAATATAGTATGATTCTTTTCTAAAACAGATGTGCCCTCATTGTTTCATGAGGAAGTAATTAAGTGTATTTGATTAAAACATTCATAATTGCTATCATTTATTCAAGGCTACTATATGCTGCTCTCTTTTATTGGTGCTTTATATATGTTGTGTCTGCTTCTCCCTGTCTCCCTGGGAGGGTTTTTATTGTCTCCATTTTAGAGATGAGGAATCTGAGGCTCAGAGAGATTAAGTCGCTTGTCCAAGGATACTCAGCTTCTGAGTGATAGATATGAGAATGCAACAGGCCTGGCTGACTTGAAACCAGTGCCTTTCTGTCACCCCAACTACTTCTGAACTTGTGTTTGAGAGACCTTTCAGCCCAACACCCTGAACCAGCATGCATATTCCTTTCTTCCTCTCAGCCCTCTCTGTGTCTGCCCCTGCCACCCCCCACTCCACTTTCCATTGCCTTAGATTATTGCCTCCCTTGCATCCTGAAACAAATGTTTTTGTTACTGTCAATAATTGGATACTATTATGTGTGGAAACTGTCTGGTGTCAATAGTATACTAATGTCACACTTGTATTAGTAAATACAAAATAATATGTTGTTATAAAGCCAAATTATATATATTATGATTTTCTTTATACAGCGTTTTACTCCTAAGATTTCTTTGAGTCCCAATTTAAATGTTTTTTTTTTAAAGTACGGGTTTTATCTTCGTGTAAAGTGTAAACATAGCAATGTAGTGAAAAGAAAGTCAGAATTTTTTATTTTATTAAAGGTTGTCTAAACAGTGGAATACCTATTTCAAATTATATATGGAATAAAAGATTGAAATATCTCTCTTTAGAGAAGTTTAAGAGGTTTCTTACAGACTTAGATTCATTAATTTTCTCCCCCTCCTAGTATTTCAGCAGGATTAAGTTTTTTGAATCAGTGGATCAAGTTTAAATTTCCCTGTTCCTTCCTTATACTGACATATGCTTTGGCAGGACAAAAAAGAGACCTAAACATGTCAGCATGATTTTTGTTCAATGAATTAAAAACCATAAAAGTAACAAGATCTGATCCAAATCCCTAAACTCCTGACATGGTGGTTTTGTCCTTTTCAGTCCCAAGATTCATATTACTGACTTTGAAAAGCTTTCTGCCTGAAAGCAGAAGTGATGGCAGCAGTGCATAATTTATTTGAAATAGATTGCAAGGGGTGGGCAGCACAGAGTAGTGGAAAGCATGTAGGCCAGAGAGAACTGGATTTGAATCCCTGTCCTGTCACTCAAGCCCATGGGCAAGCTACTCAACATCTGTGCACCTCAATTTCCTCATTGGAAAATGGGAGGGGGATGAGAATCTAGCTGGAAAAATTGTTGCGGGGGTCTGTGAGGTACTGTACTTACAGTACTCACCTGGCATAGACAGGCTTAATAATGGCAGTAATCAGGATTATTTCTCTTTTGAGAATACCTTCAAATAACCGAATCCAGAAGGATTGATTTATAATGCAGACATCTGCTTTGTCTTCAGAGCTCATCTTCCCTCAAAATTCTTTGATTTTTTTTTTTTTCTCATCTTGGCGGAGAGAAGAATAGCAGGTAGATGCCACTAAATCTTTAACACCTGTTTGTCACTGTTTCACATGGAACATATACCCAGAACTTGCTCGTCCTTACCAAGAAAGAACCACACTGATTACGGTCAAGAACCGTAATCCAGTGATGTCTATTTCAGGACCCAGGGAGCCGAGGAATTTTGTCTTACTAAGACTGTTGGCATTTGAGACAGGTCAGCCTGGGTTTGGCCCCAAACTTCTTGGGTCTCATTTTCTTCATCTGTAAAATGGGGCACATGTTCTTGCAAGAACCTCCATGATATGGATTTCCAGCTTCTTTTCTTGTTACTCTCTTGTTATCTGTCCTGCAGTAACTCCTTGGATGCAACATGGTCTCTTTGCGGCTTAAAGCCTTTGTATGTGCTCTCTCTTCCTCCTGGAAGCCCTCCTTGCCATGCCAGCTCAGGCAACCTACATTTGTTCTTCAGATCCTAGTGTGCGTATTAGTCAGGACAGAATGGGCTGTGCTGCAGTAACAGGCAACCCCAGAGTCTCCATGGCTTATCCCAGAAATCTGCTTCTTGCTCAGGCTGTGTGATGGGCGCTGTTTATCATGGTCACTCTGGGACCCAAGCTGATGGGAGGAGCTCTGTATCCACTTGTATTGCAGCCAGCAGAAGCAAATGTGGGGTAGCACACCCTAGCTCCTAGCACTCCTGCCCTGAGGTGAAACCCCCATTTCTGCTCACATTTCATTAACCAAAGCGAGTTGTGGTACCACACCAAACTTTAGAGCCAATAGGGAAAATATCTTTCTACTGGAAGGAGTAAGAACCAAACCACTAGTAAGTGGACCTGAAGACTACCCCATTTAGAGATTATTTCTTCAGGAGGGTCTCCCCTTACTTGCCCCCTGCTCCAGCTCGGACAGTTGCTGATGAGTCCATGCAGCTGCTTTAGTGCTCCTGTGACACCTTGTACTTCTCTGCTTCCCTTCCCACACTCATTGTGTCTCCTTCCTTGCCTCTCTCCCTGACTGAGCTCCCTAAGAGCAGAACAAAGGTCAGTTGGTTAGTGTTCACTGTGTTACCCTCACGCCCACCCCTGGTTGTGATAGGTAAATAGGTCCTCATTATCTAGAGGACAAGGAAACAAAGGTAGAACAAACGTGCATGCGGGGTGACTTTGCTGGGTCGTTGTGATGAGTAAATGTAAAATAAGAATAATAATAAGTGCCTTGTGTAGTTGTAAGAGCCAGCTTATAAAGTGCCTGTGCCAGGGGTTTATAGCAGGCCCTCCAAGTACTCATGGTGGTGATACAATGAGAAAGGAAGCAGTAGAAATAACTGATGTTTGGCAAGCACTCACATATGCCAGACCCTCCCATGGCTTCTTTGTGGAAGTTAACTGACGTGGCGGTTCTCATGTGTTAGGGCTCATGTTACATCTTGGTCAGTTTTGAGGCTATTCATAAGTAGTTTACTATAATAATTAGTAAGATTCTGAGGATAGCTACTTATTTTGGGTGACTTAGAGATTTTTTTTTAATGAAAGATACTGCTTTTTTTTTAAGATTTTAAAAATTTATTCATGAAAGAGGGGCAGAGACACAGGCAGAGGAAGAAGCAGGCTCCCTGTGGAGACCCTGATGCAAGACTGGATCCCAGGACCCCGGGATCACGACCTGAGCTGAAGGCAGACACCCAACCACTGAGCCACCCAGGAGTCCTGGGTGATTTAGAGATTTAATGGTGTGCTTTCTATAGCCTCATGTGCTCATTTGTGCTACATCTTTAGTGGGAGAGAATGGTTATAGAGTTATAGCTAACAATTGCTGCCTGTCAGCATTGAGCACTTAACATGGACCATGGTCAGCGCTAAACAGTTGATGTACACTGTCTCCTCTGTATGGGGACTCTGACAAGACAAGTCAGTTATGCATACAGTAAGTGGTGTGGCCAGGATGCCCTGACTCAAGCTTTTAAGCAGTCCTCACCTCACTCACCAGGAACTTACTTAGCCCTGAGCACACCTGTGGGCATGGTTTGGGAACGTCAAGATCACCATTGACAGAGAGCAAAGCTACTCACTGCTGAGCAAGTGAACACAGTGATGTTAAATTCTCGGCCAGCAGCTCACGTATAGGATGATTTTATTGAATATTTTTTTGTTTTGTTTTATCAGAGTAACCAGGGAGCACAGGGAAATGATGGTGAAACTGGCCAAACAGAACACCAACAAGGCCAAGGATTCTTTACGGAAGGTTCGTACCAATGCAATGAATAAGCTGAAGAAATCAAAGGACAAGGTCTCGGAGGACACCATTAGGCTCATAGAAAAACAGGTACTGTTGCCAGCATCTGTGGTACATATGTGTCTGACCCAGGGAACCACTTGTTCATGTCTGAAGAGAGGGAGAGTACAAAAGAATACCCCTGACTCTTTCCTTGGCACGATCAGGATTGACTGAGTCTCTGTTTCTGGGCTTAGCCATCGGAACATGGAGGAAGGGACGATGCCATGGACTCTACTCTGCTGGGCTCCAGACTCCGTGCTGAATGCTTTCTATCATTTCATGTATCCTTGTTGCTACAAAGTTGTGAAGTAGGTCCTGAGGAGAGTGAGGTTCAGAGAAGCTAACTAACTTGCTCCAAGTCACACTGCTGGTCAATTAGAAATGGATCCCAACCCAGGCAGACTAACCAGAGCCTGGATGCAAATGCTCGTGTGTGTGTGTGTGTGTGTGTGTGTGTGTGTGTGTGTGTTGGGGGGGTTGCTCTTCTGAGTGCTGGCAAGTGAGGACTTAGCAGTGTTCTTACTGCACTGAGTAGCAGCACTTGAACAAAGTGCTATAAAATAGTGAGGGAATGGGGGGGCAGAATAACACGGGCAAAGGTACTGTATAAAAGAATGTATGCAGGTGGGTAATTGTAGTGTGAACACTGGCTGAGGCTTGGGAGTGGATGGATGTGGCAGCTAATTCATAGCAGGGCTTGAAAACCAGGCTGAGCAGCTTGGACTCCAGCCTGTCCAGACACTCCCGTGCTGGCTATGCAGGTCTGTCAGTCATCTGTGGCCACAGTAATGCTGTGACCACCTCAAAACTCGGTGATCTACAGTATCAGCCTTTATTTCTTAGTCTCATTTCTGTGGCTCAGCTGGGGAGTCACTGTTCTAGGCTGGGCTCAGTGGGTTTGCTCTAAATGTTGGATTGGTTTCAGATCTGCTTTCTCTGTCCCTCAATCTTCTGGAGTCAACAGGCTTCCTAGGACACCTTTCAACAGCAGATGCCAACAGATTAAGCCCAACCATTCAAATACATTTGAAGCACCTGCTCTTGGCACATCCCACTGGCCAAGCAAATCATATGGGCCAAGCCCAGTGTCACCAGCACAGGGAAATATATATGTTTGTGGAAGTCTAGGGGAGGGTGTGAATATTTGTTGAACAGTAATCAAATCTACCACAGCATCACAATCACTTAAGGAGCTTATAAAAATAGAGGTTTCTGTGGCCCCATACCCAGAGATTGAGTCAGTGAGTCTGGTGTGGGGCCTACGGATTATTTTTAGATTCTCCCCGGGTGATTCTGATACATTAACTCCCTGGAAAGACTTTTTTCCAGACTGGGGAGATCACATCTGTGTTCATGAAAGATGACTGTGTTGGCTGGGTAGAAAACAGGTTGTGGAGGCCGGGAGGCCAGGGAGGCTGTTGCAGAAATCCATCCAGGAAATGGTGGCTTGAACCTGAGTGGTACCAGTGGAATTAAGATAGGAAGATGAATTTAGCAGTATTTAGGAGGTAGAATGATATTTAGCATGAAATAAAAGGCTTACCCAAAGCTTCTGCATTCACATTTTTTAAGGAAGATTAAACATGAATGTGGGCAGGATGGGGAGTAAGGAGGCTAGAGGCTGGAGGCAAGGAGCATGAGCGCTGTTAGGGAGACATCTGGAGAAGGCCATAAATTGACTAACCGCTCCCTTCTCTTGGACCAGCAGTTAGAATGACAGTTGTAGGCCAGCCCTAACAATCACCCAGGAAAACATTTAGGATGCCTGAGCTCTGCTCCTCATTCACTGAGTTTTAGTAGGTTTCCCCAGGAATGTATATTTTTAAGAAGCTCCCAGATAATTCTGCAAAAGCCAACACAGATGGTAATTAATAACCTAGAAGCCTAATGGTGTATCCCTGTGATGTTACCAGAGTTGCATCAAGGTGGTTCTGCACTTGATGTCCTGTGACCTTAGGGACACTACCTGACTGCTTGAAGTCTGCTTGTTCTGTAAAAAAGGGTTTGTAATTCCTAGCTTAAAAGATTGCTGTAGACATGCTAGAATTCTACACCATTAGAGTATCTGACACCTGGCTCCACCTGACCCTCAGAGCTCCCTTCCTGCCTTCATTGTGTCCTCTTCTTTCCCTGCATCAACTAAAAGAGGTTCCTAGATAAGGCTGGTCTTTTCTGAGCACTAGTCAGGCCTTGTAGGAGTCTGTCCTTGGTCCCAGATGGCCAGCTCCCCAGGATATTCCATCTCTGCCATCCACCCTTGACCTTTTCCTTGCTTCCTCACAGTAAACCCTTGGACCTCAGGAACATGCCAGGCACTTCTCACTCAGCAAGACTGGGCCTCTGTGTCAGGGACCAGAGCCCATGTCCATGTACCCTGAAGAGGGAAGAATGATCAGATAAGCAGTATACCCTTGATCAAACGCACTGACAAAGACATTGCAAGAAGCTTTCACATTAGCACCTGGCTTTTCACCTTCCTTTTCAGATTAGATTTGTTTCTTCTATGCTTATTGCTATTGATTATTATTATTTTTCGAAATGAAAATGACTATTAGTTTTTTCTGATACTAAGCTATGCATGGTAGTATAATATTTTTTTTAAATCTTTTTTTTTTAATTTTTTATTTATTTACTTATGATAGTCACAGCGAGAGAGAGAGAGGCAGAGACACAGGCAGAGGGAGAAGCAGGCTCCATGCATCGGGAGCCCGGTGTGGGATTCAATCCCGGGTCGCCAGGATCACGCCCTGGGCCAAAGGCAGGCGCTAAACCGCTGCGCCACCCAGGGATCCCAATATTTTTTTTTTTAATGAAGAAGAAAGTAATTGAAATTTCATCACCCAGAGATGACCATTGTTAACGTTCTAGTGCAGATCTGCACATTTTCTCCGTGATGACATGCGTAATATTACAAAATAAAAGATCACAGTGTATGTACATAACATATCCTGTGCAGTAATCTTTATTAACATATTCTCATTTAAACATGAGTTCTTACCATTAGTGTCAATAACTGCCTTTATTATCTATCATAAGTGGAGTAAGAAAATCTTTAGGAGACAGACTTGTGCACACTTTATTTTGTCCTTTTTTCCTGCCAGGAGGCACTGAGCTGGAGTTTTGGGTCTGTGGTTTTTGTTTTCATTTTTAAAATAAGCAAGGCAGGGGGTTGATTGTTGTTTTATCAAGGTTTTTAAAAATTTATTTGTTTACTTTGATCCTGATTATCAAAGTAATGTATGCTCACTGCAGAAAACAGGGAGAGTTCCGAAGACTGTTTTAAAAAAAAAATGGGGAAAAGTTCACACCATAAGCCCACATTGCAGAAGCAACTGCTGTTAATATTTTGGAGTATTTGTGCTTTCCCTCTCTTTTTTTTTTTTAAACTACCTAGTTTGTAACGTGTCTGAGAATATGTAGTATGCATATGATTCTGTATTCAGCTTTTTATTTTCTGTTTAGGATTAAACCATTAGCATTTTCTCGTGTCTTAAAAAACTGTCTGTAAACAGCCATTTCTGATGGTTAGAGAATAGTCCGTCTTGTGGTTATACCATAATTCACTTTCATAGGCCTCTTGTTGGACATTTTGTTTGTTTAAACTTTTTTGTTATAAATAAGGTTGCAGTGAATATTTTTATACATAAATTTTTGTTAAGATGATTTCCCTGGGATAGAGTCCAAACTGTGGAATTATTGCACATTGGGAATACATATTCTTAAGATTCTTGGTATGTGCTGCCTAAATCACTCACAGGGGTTTCAGAATGTATGATGTTTTTGTTTTTGTTTTGTTTTGTTTTGTTTTTAATTTTTTTTTCTTTATTTATTTATGATAGTCACACAGGGAGAGAGAGAGGCAGAGACACAGGCAGAGGGAGAAGCAGGCTCCATGCACCGGGAGCCTGACATGGGATTCGATCCCGGGTCTCCAGGATCGCGCCCCGGGCCAAAGGCAGGCGCCAAACCGCTGCGCCACCCAGGGATCCCTTGTTTTTGTTTTTTAATTTTGCCTTTTCTAATCCCTAACATTTGAACTCAGAAATTTTTTTTAAGATTTTATTTATTTACTTGAGAGAGAGTGAGAGTGAGCATGAGCAGGGGGAGAGGCAAAGGGAGAGAGAAAGGGAGAAGCAGACTCTCCACTGATCAGGGAACCCAATATATAGGGAGTCCGATGTGAGGTCCTGTCCCAGGACCCTGGCATCATGACCTGAGCTGAAGGCAGATGCTTACCTGACTGAGCCACCTAGGCATCCCTTGAACCCAGAATTTTTAATGTGAGTTTGAAATGATGCTTATCTTGGAAGTTTTGTCTTTACTTCTATACTCCACAGAAAATATTCAGTTATTTTTTTTTTTTAGTTAGTTATTTTTTATATAACTCTATACAACCTTTCAAAAGGATAATATAGCAGTATATACCAAAATCCATACATTTCTGACTCAGTGGCTAAAGAAATTATTCAAAATAAATTGTCAAGAATCTTACCTATTATCTGTTAATGTATTATATACATAATAGTTGAAAATTAGAAACTGTCTAAATTTCTGACAGTGGGAACATAAATTCTTCTACATCCATTTACTGGAATCTCTATATAGAGACAGTTATAAAAACATTTTGCAGGGGCACGTGGGTGGAACAGTCAATTAAGCATCTGATTCTTGATTTTGGCTCAGGTTGTAATGTGAGGGTCTGGAGATTGAGCACCAAGTTGGGTTCTACACCCAGTGTGGAGCCTGCTTTAGACTCTCTCCTTCTCCCTCTGCACCTCCCCACAGCTCTCTTTCAAATAGATCTTTTTTTTTTTTTTTTTTTTTTTAACACTTCTTTTTTTATTTTTTTTAATTTTTATTTTATGATAATCACACACACAGAGAGAGAGAGAGAGGCAGAGACATAGGCAGAGGGAGAAGCAGGCTCCATGCACCGGGAGCCTGACGTGGGATTCGATCCCGGGTCTCCAGGATCGCGCCCTGGGCCAAAGGCAGGCGCTAAACCGCTGCGCCACCCAGGGATCCCTCAAATAGATCTTTTTAAAAAATATATTGCAGAAATAAGTTTCTTTTGGAATTTATTTTTTTAAGGTAGGTTACATAACAGTATAATAATATGATTCCATTTTTATAATGAAAATCTTCATGTACATGAAAGGATTGGCAGCTTAGTTTGGAGCGCCTAGCTGGCTTAGTCGGTAGAGCATGAAGCTCTTGATCTTGTGGTTGTGAGTTCGAGTCCCACATTGGTTGTAGAGATTACTTAAAATAAAATCTTAAAAAAAAAAAAGAAGATTGGCAGCTTATCCACTTGAGAATATTAATAGTGGTCATTTCAGGCAATGGGATTATGAACAATTTAAATATTATTCTTTATGGGATTTGTTTTTACATTCCAAAATTCTTTTGAGGTCAGATTTTTTTAAAAAGCTATATTATAAACATTATACAAATGTTTCTTTGGTGTATAAAAATGAAGGGATCAAGTTGTAGGTTGCATGCCTATAATCACGTCTGATCCTCACCCACCCCTATCCACCAACTTCCCCACCAACTTCCCCACCCAGCTGCCCAGGCCAGCTCTGCCGAAGAAGGACCGAGGCCTACCCGCTCGGGACTCTGACATCTGCCAGCCTGCTGTTTCACCTTTGCTTCAGTTTGCTATAAATGGGCCTGCTGAGCATTAAAGCGCTTGGCAGAAATCACCAGTAAAGCTGGCCAAGATCCTTTCACTGCCGCCTTTTTCTGAGAAATTGCTGCTCTGAAGTGAAGCTGGGTGCTAATGGGCAGAAGGAGGGAAGGGCTCCTAGTGGGCAGGCAAGCAGGCAGGGAGGCTGGGGTGGGTGAGGCACTGAGTGTTCTGAGCCAGGCTTTGGGGAGGATGACTTGCCACCTACCTGCCCCAGCCATGCATTGTGTGTGCCTGCCTTCCCCTTTCCTGTCTCCTCCTTTCACTTTCCTGAACCAGAAAGGAGCAAATGTGACACTGCTGCTGCTGCTGCTGCTGCTGCTGCTGCTGCTGCTGGTGGTGGCACAGCCATTGATATGTCTTTATGAGGCAGCAGATTAAAATGGAAAGGGCTCTTGCTTTGGTGGCAGGCCTGACTGGTTCAAATTCCCAGCTCTTTCACTTCTCCGCTGCTAGGGTCAGCAAATAGCTTCACTTTTTTGAGCTTGTCTTCTCATCTATAAAGTGGGAAGAGGGGTGCTCATCTCACAGGTTTGGTGAGAGGACCAAGTGACACACATACTGAAAAGTGACTGACATGCTTTCCAGTCCTCAGTAATTGTGTCCTCAGTATGTGTCTGTCCCATTCCTTTCTCCGCCCTTCTGACTATGAATGTGGGGCTGGGATTGATTGTTGGAGTGACTCACACAGCTTGACTGGAGTGAGGAAGGACCAGGCCAGGTGCTGGGGACTCATCAAAGGCAATCAGGGTGGGTAAGTTCCTGGCTCAGTCACACTACTGACTTTTTAATGTGATTTTGGGCAGGTTAGTTAACATTTTATGCCTTGGTTTACTCTTCTATAAAATGGAGATAATACCTATTCTCACCTGCCTTATAGAAGTTACGTGTAATTGTTGGATTTGAGTGAAATAACAGAGGACAAAACCCCTTTGCATGCCATGAACAACTGTGCAACTGTCAGGATAAATAGTTAAATATTCAGTGTTTTAAAGGGGCATAATAGCATTTCATGTGTTTTGAAGAAAGTGTGAAATAAGTCATATAAAGTTTTTAGCTCAGTGTCTGGCATATAGTAATACTAGGTAAGAGGGAACTGTTGCTGGTGCTTTTGTCATTGTTGTTAATCATCATTTTTTTTTAAGATTGATTATTTATTTATTTTTTTTAATTTTTATTTATTTATGACAGTCACACAGATAGAGAGAGAGAGGCAGAGGCACAGGCAGAGGGAGAAGCAGGCTCCATGCACCAGGAGCCTGACGTGGGATTCGATCCCGGGTCTCCAGGATCGCGCCCTGGGCCAAAGGCAGGCGCTAAACCACTGCGCCACCCAGGGATCCCTATTTATTTATTTTAGAGAGAGGGAGAGAGAATGTCCAAGCAGGGGGAAGGGCAGAAGGAGAGGAAGAGAGAGAATCTCAAGCAGACTCCCCAAATAGGGAGCCTGACTTGGAGCTCCATCCCATGACCCTGAGATTATGACCTGAGCCAAAATCAAGAGTCGGGTGTTCAACTGACTAAGCCACCCAGGCAGGCACCCCATGTTAATCATCATTATTTTAAGAAGTCTGATAAAGATGAAAAAAGATGAACTTACAGGCAGACTGTCCTCAAGGGCACTTTGTGCCTATAATTTGGTAGAAAGTTAGTAAATATTTTCATTAATTGATTAATTTGAAAAGAAGTCAGGAAGTGATAATAAAAATCAGAGTAGCACAAGCAGCATTTGCATAGCAAATAACCAGTTTAAACTGTGTTTGCATATTCATGAATGCATTTAACCCACACAACTACTCTCTGAGGAAGGGACCAGCATCCCCATTTGATAGATGAGGTAACTGAGATTCAGTGACTTGCACATTGTCATCCACTGAGAAAACCGGGCTCCCATATTATCAGTGTTACCCCTGGTACTCTTTCTCCCCCAGTCCTCATTCCTGTTCCCACATTGCCCTGGTGACATTTTTTCAGAATAGGCTTCTGGCGCTTGTTCCTGGCTGCCCCAGGCTGCCAGCCTCCAGGCGCTGGAGTGAGTGCTGCTGGGCATCATGCCACCCTGCATGCAAGGCATCTATTCTGGGCAGGGGCAGCAGGATCTGAAGAGTATGTGGCTGAGTGAAGAGGGATCAAGCAGCCATTCTGAGTGCAGCCGCTCTGCCAGCATGCCCAGCAGCCCCTGACACTGCTTCCTCCAGCTACAAAAAGTGCAGCTGTTGCTATGGTGAGAGCCTGTTTGTATCCCTGCCTGGGGCCAATTGCTCCAAATCCTCTCTAGCCTCTCTCCTTTCCAGTGCGTTTAGTTCCTAGTTCTTGGCTAAGGCCTGTGGTCTGCAAATATGTAAGACAGCCGTCATGCGGCTGAGCACACAGATCCTGGGCCCATCCTTGAAGGCTTCCTGTCTTAGGTCCCTTTTAGACTTGGGAGGGAAACTGTAACACTTACTAAATTGTATTGTGTTTTGTTTCTCATTCTTAGTACATGTTTATTTTTGAAAATTTGGAAGATATAGAAAAGTACAGAAAACCTTAATTATTCATTTAGTAAATATTTTGTGACCACTTGCTATACACTAGGTCTTTTTTTTTTTTTTTTTTTTAATTTATCCGTGAGAGACACAGAGAGAGGCAGAGACACTGGCAGAGGGAGAAGCAGGCTCCATGCAGGGAGTCTCACGCAGGACTCGATCCCGGGTCTCCAGGATCACGGCCTGGGCTGAAGGCAGCACTAAACCACTGAGCCACCCAGGCTGCCCTACACTAGGTCTTATATAAGATGTTTCCTTCCATTTTTAAGAAATAAGCATTTTTTGTAACATATTTGAGATCCGGCTTTTTCTTTAACTCTAAAGGTAACATGAGCATTTTCCCATGGTATTATAAAGAATATCTTGAAACATTATTTCTGTTTATCTGATTACAAAAGCAATCCATACTTGTTATAAACTTTCAGACATTTCAGAAATATGTACTAGAATGTTATTCATATTTGAACCCTTTCCATAAGAAGTGGATAATCTCAACCATTTTTAATGGCTATATGTATTCAACTACTTCTGTGTTATATCACTTTAGATTTTCTGATTTTTCATTATTAAAAATAAAGCCTGGATGGGGGCACCTGGGTGGTGCGGTTAGTTAAGCATTAAGCTCTTCGTTTTAGCTCTGGTGGTGATGGGTTTTCGGCTTGGGTGGTGATCTCAGGGTTGTAAGATTGAGCCCTACATCAGACTCCTTGCTTGGTGTCAAGTCTCCTTGAGACTCTCTCTCTTTTGCCCCTCCCCACTCTCTAAAAATAAATAAATCTTTAACTATAAAGCCTAGATAAATATTTTTGCATATGGAACTTTAGAAAAATTTTTTTCAGATTCCATCCATGTGGTAATTTCCCAGTTGAGAGAATTTAGGAGTTAAAAACCGGTGTGGACATTTGCATTGATTTGAATTCCTATCATTGATATATGAACTCATCCATTTTACCATAGCTTTCTGGCATTGAATACTGTAATTAAAAGCTACAACATCATATTTTGTTAACTACAATAACTGAATTATATCTTGTTTTAATTTGCATTCCTTAGTGTCTGTTGAATTTTCCATGTTTGTTAACCAGATGTACTCTTTTTTTCAAGATTTTTTTTTCCTGCTTAATTATTGGGATCTTAGTAGTCTTATCAATTAGTATGAGGCCTTTATACAGCATGGTGTCTGAGGTGTAGGCAATTCTAGAGTCATTAGTGACCGATAAGGCTGGCTTCTCTGTATTCCTGTAATAAGAATTAAGAATTTGGGGCTATGAAATCAGACTACTGGGGATTAAATTTTGTAATTGTTACTTGCAGCTGTGTGTCCTGACAGGTGACCCAACTGCCTCAGTTTCCTCATCTGCGAAATGAGGATAATGACAGGATTTCATGGGGCTGCTGTTAAGAGGCAGTATATAAAGTTATTGGCACAGTGCCTGGCTGGGACTAAACAGTGTGAGCTTTTGTCACCATTGCTGTTTCCCAAATAACTTGTACATAATTTTGGAATGCTTGTTCCCCTGCCCTGTCCCAGGCTGTTCTCGAGCCATCTCCTTTTGTGTCCCCACAGATCAGCCAAATGGCTGACGATACAGTTGCAGAGCTGGACAGGCATCTGGCAGTGAAGACCAAAGAACTCCTTGGATGAGAGTCCACCTGGTGCAGCGGTACTCCAGAGCCTGGTTTCTTTGGATCCCGTGGATGGCAAGTTGGTGCCTCTCTTCCCTGTCCACGCCGAAGGCTGTCATCATGCATTTGTCACTGTGTGGCTCAACCTTCTAGAGGGACACCCAGACTTGTTCATTCTCTTCTTCCTGCTCCCTGCCCAACCCATTCTGCTTTGGCCTTCTGCCTGGGTGGGCCTCCAGGAGTCCCTGCTGCCAGTGGATGGCCTCTACTCAGAGTATTTGCCCTGATCCTGACATTGCCAAGAGATCAGGACCACTGGCAGGCTCGGCACCTTATGTTTCTTATCTCAGGAGCTGCCTTTTCAATCATTTGGGCCCTGTCCCCAACTTTGGTCTCTGGGCTGATTTGGGCCTTCACCTGCAACTGGATCCCTTTGCTACAGGCCCATTTTTACCTAACAGTAAAATTAAAATAAATTGGAAAAAATAACCACCACAAAGGAGTGGTCCATCTGGATTAACATTCTCTAAGGACCTGTGTGTCAAACCACCAGACAATACGTTTGCCTCTGAGTCATTGTCACACCTGCTCTTTCCTCTGCCTGGACCATCCTGCCACTGCTGACCTACCTGGCTAGTCCTGTTCATCCCTCGGGTCTCAGCTTGGGTATCACCTACTTCCCTCTTCCCCAGCCTACAACTCCTGTTGTCAGCTCTTAGCACTGTCCACTGCTTTTTAGCGGAACCTTCACTATTCTTTTTGATAATTAGTCCATAGAGCTTCACTTTCCTCAGGACTTTATATAATGCCTGGAACACAGTAGGCATTCAAATATGTTGTGAATGAATTGAACAAAGTAGCCACTCAACAAATGCTGACTGCTTTTCTTTTCTTTCCATCATAGTACCATCACTCTGTCACTTTCCAATCTTGCCTTTCCCCAGGGCCTGCCTGTTACTGACAGAGGACTGGTTTGTTGTGGCTTATCTTTTGGTTAAGTATGTTTTTTTCTTTAGTAATTACCTTTTCTTTTCTCTTCTTTTCTTTCATTCATAATGTAGCTATCCTATAGCCGTAATACAGCTAGATACAGTTCTAGGCAGTATCTTTAATCTTCATGGTAAGCTTGTGAGATGTATATTATCTTCATTTTACAAATAGGAAAACAGACTTGACATCATGGATTACTTCCCCAAAGTGACAAGCCTAGTAAGTGATAGAATGTTTTGTTATGCATGGTCAGACTCATTTTACAGAGAGGGAGGAGCTCAAGAGAGGTCAGATTTCTTGCTCAGCGTGACATAGCTAGCAAGTGGCAGAGCTGGGATTCAAACTGAGGCCTGATCTAAAGCCTGTGCTCTGCCCAATGCATCCTGCAGCCTGCATAAACATCTAGTGAGCACCCACTGTATGTCAGGTATGGTGCTGCATGCTGGGTAGACATGTAAAATAGATAAGATATGAGGGGTGCATGGCACATTAGACTAAGTCTGTCTTTGAGGGGTGCATGGCACACTACACTAAGTCATTATCCAAAATGTTCCGGGTGGAAGGTAGGAAGTTCATTCCAGTTCTGCCAGATGGCTGCTTTTAGAGAGGAACCTACTCGGGCAGCCACCAGGCCTGGCTGCAACTCCCTCGAAGCAGCATCCAGACTTCCTGCTGTCTGACTCCTCTGAGATCCTGCCCCTTGTGGGAGGTCTGCTCTTCTCCCTCTGCTGGTGCTGATGGAGCACACTGTGCACAGCCGGTGGGAGTTCAGGGTCAGAGTCAGGTAAAAAATGAAGAAGCTAACATAGTCTCCTGGCCTGCTTACCTGTCCTCAGTCCAACCCCAGCCCTGAGTGCCATCACAGGATTGGAAGTCAGCTGGGGGTAGAACAGGGATAGAAATAGCAATCAAGGAGCCTTTTTTGGAGTAAACCACATGGCGGGGCATTGCAATTGTCTTTTGTGAGTGGCCGAAATCCCCCACTCACAGCAAATGTACTTCTCAAAGATGCAGGATTTTTTAATAAACAGAGGAAATGATAAATTATGTTGTAACTCCACTCCAAAGGCATTTGGTTCTTAACAGCCAAATCCTCTGTAGTCTTTAAATAAACAAAAACTTATTTGGTGAACAGACGGGGAGGGAGGGGGATGGAAAATGAAAGATTTTCTGTACTTGGGTCCCACATGTCAATAATTTCTCTCCTGTGTGTATGTTGGCCAAAGCTGTATATCATGATAAATGAATAAAGGAAAACCTCGAGCCCAGGGCAGCCAGACAGCTCAGCAAATGGCTTTCAGCTGATTGCTCTATTTCAGTTGACATTTATCAAAGAGTTTCTCTGTTTCTCCGTGTCAGGGCTGCTATGGTGGCAGGGACTGGGGATGAAGACTACCTATTTGGATCTGCTGAGTAATGAGTAATGCTGGAGCAATGCCTTCTCCGTCTCTCCTTCCTTGAACTTCTTTCTTTCAAAAGGAAAAGCAGGGATGGAAATTCCTGCCTTTGGCACAAGGATTAACCACCTCCTCCGTTCAGCTCACCAGCTTTCTAAGTCTCACAAAACATGGAGGCCAAAGAGAACTCAAGAACTTTTGTCCTGTTTTTTTCTTTTTTTATATGCTTGTGCGCATGTGCATGTGTATGTGTGCATGTGTGTGTGTGTGTTGGAAGTTACAAAAGAAACTATAAAAAGTTAAAAGAGAAACTTCTCTTAAGTTCCCATTCTTATTCCTCTTTAGCAATTAGATGTGTATCCTTTCAGACCTTTGCATGTACATAGTTTTTAAGAAGCAGGGAAGGGAACTATTCTGTTCATATTCTGAAGCTTGCTATTTTTTTTTTAAAAATCCAACAACATATTATGGCCATCTTTTCATATGTGAACACGGAGCTGCAATTCACCCCTTTTTTGTTGCAGTGCAGTGTTCCATAATATGGATGTATCTTAACTTACTTCACTGCTACCCCTATGATATTTTTTTTTAAATGATAGACATGGGGGGGGCGGGGGCAGAGACACTGGAGGAGGGAGAAGCAGGCTCCATGCCGGGAGCCCGACGTGGGACTCGATCTTGGGACTCTAGGATCACGCCCTGGGCCAAAGACAGGCGCTAAACCGCTGAGCCACCCAGGGATTTCCCCCCCCCCCATGATATTTTTAAAGAATCATTTTACAGGGTTGCCTGAGTGGCACCATCGATTTGGACATCTGACTCTTGGTTTCATCTTGGGTCATGATCGTGGCATCGAGCCCTGTGTTGAGCTCCTTGCATGACTCTGCTTGCAACTCCTTCTTCCTCTCCCTCTGCCTTCCACCCCTCCCTGCCCTGTCTCTCAAATAAATAAATCTTTTAAAAAATCATTTGACATGCATTGGAGGATTTTTTTTTTTTATGATAGTCACACAGAGAGAGAGAGAGAGAGGCAGAGACATAGGCAGAGGGAGGAGCAGGCTCCATGCACCGGAAGCCCGACGTGGGATTCGATCCCGGGTCTCCAGGATCGCACCCTGGACCAAAGGCAGGCACCAGACTGCTGCACCACCCAGGGATCCCTGGAGGATGTTTCTATTTAAAGATGATTTTTTTGTTTTTTGAGAAATAAGAACTCCTAAGTTTATTTGTTTTATTGAGTTTTACTTATTCTTCCTCAACCTAGACTAATATTTGCTGAATGCCTACTGAAGAATGGTGCCATGCTGGACACCTTACTTGTGTTACTACATTTAAACTTCTGAACAATGCTATGCTGTGTAAATATTACTCCGCTCTCTTTACATGTGAGAAAACTGAAATTCAGAATGGGCATTTAGCTTGTCCAAGGTCACACAATTAGTCAGTGCCAGAGTGAAGTTTGAAACTCAGATCTGACTTTAAAGTAGGTCCTTAATTAGTGCGCTTCAGTCCGTAAGTCTTCACTGAGTACTTATTCAGAATGCACTCAGTACTGCGCCTGGCCCCAAAGGTAATCAAAAGAGAAGCACAAAGCTCCCTTTCATAAAACAATTTACCCATGTCCAATAAAGGTGTGTTGAAAGCTGCATGGGAGGTGGTGGCACATAGTAAATGCTGAAGGGATGGTAGCTCTAAGGGAGACAGGAAAGGCTTATATTTACGTATATCTACCTCACACCTGTTTGACAGACTCCTCTAGAACTTGTACGAGAACCAGTGAATAAGCAGAAAGACCACCAGCAGTGAATAATGACAATAATGACAGTAATAGTATTGATGGCGTCAATAACTAATACTGGCTTGGTCTCTTTTAGTTTTCTGAGTTGCCCTGGGTCCTCTATCCCATTGAAATCATTGAGCGAAACTTTGCAGTTTCTTTTGCTATGATATGTGGTCAGTTTCCATGAGGTGGGTTAAAAGGAATGGTCTCTGTTCTGGGAGTACAAGTTTTGATATGTACACAGGAAATGTAGTTTATAAATTATATTAGGTTATCCATATTCTAATTTTTGGCCTTTTGATGAGTCTGGGATGGGAAGTGGGGTGTTTCGGTCTTGTTATTAGCATTCATATTTCTTCTTGCACTTCCTATAATTTCTCCTGGATCACTTGCTGGGTTGTCCGATGCCCAGAGAGCTTGGCTCTTCTCGTCTTCATCTCAGTGCTTGGAGTCTGAGTTCTTGTCCTCTCTCAAGATCACAGCCCCTGCTTGCTTTTTGTTCACATTTGTTTGATGTATCTTTCCCATTCCTTTATTTGTAGGTTTCTAAATCACTGCTTTAGGTGTGGTTTCTGTTTTGGAGTTAGGTTTTATGATTCATTCTGAAACTCCTTTTAAAAATTATCTTTAGGGGGCACCTGGGTGGCTCAGTCGGTGGTTAAGCGTCTGCCTTGGGCTGGGGTCATAATCTCGGGGAATAGCCACTCAGCACAATGTTCTCCAGGTCCATCCATGTTGCAGCAGGTGTGAGAATTTCTTTCCTTTCTAAGGCTGACTCCTTTTTTTCTCCCCCTGAAGATTTTATTTATTTATTCACGAGAGACAGAGAGAGAGAGGCAGAGACACAGCAGAGGGAGAAGCAGGCTCCCTGTGGGGAAACTGATGTGGGACTCAATCCCAGGACCCCAGGATCACACCCTGAGCCAAAGGCAGATGCTTAAGCACTGAGCCACCCAGGTGTCCTGGCTGACTCCTTTTCTTTTAGGAGGTGGCCTAAACTCATTCAAATGTATTGATAATACTGAAATGTTTAGTAGAACCCTACGGTTACTCTTTTTTGCATGCAGTATTAATATTAGGTATTTTGGTGTCTAAACCCTTAGCAGATGAGGGGCTGGATGTTGGGTTGAGGAGGAGGATTGCTTCTGCACAGAGGAGGTTCACTGCTTGTTGAATGAACAAAGAAGTCGCGGTCCCTGTCTCTCACATTCCTCTGTTCTGGTCTTTAATTCATCACATGCTGTTAGCTCAAGCTGAGACATAGCCTTCATCACACCCTGTCTTCTGCTCCACACCCTTCAATGGCTCCCTGTTGCCTGCTG